TAAGAAGGAGAAAAGTGACTGCTACAGCTGAACCCAGGACAACTGTCCTCAACTGATCTGCAGTCATGCACCTGAGCAATATCCCAAAAGGAATCCTAGAAAAGAAGATGGTCTCCTAGGAAAAAGTAGTGAGCCAGACCCTTCTCAATGTATTTTGTGGGCACCTGGGGAGCTCTGTTGCCCAGAGAAGGCAGTTACCTGCCTGTAGGAAGGGTGGTACGTGTGGTGCCTCATACCCTTCACCATGGGAAGCCAAAGACTTTGTGCGTCCTGGTCCCCCCTGTGCAGCTGTGAAGAGCAGGGCATTGCCTGAGCCCCATGACCATCACTCTGCTTCTCACTCACCATCTCCACAGCTCTATTTTATCTTTGGCAGTTCCTTGGGAGTGTTTGGCCACTCTTGGTGCTGCAGTAGAACTCCATCCAGCAGAGTTACCTTGGAAAGTGCACGTTCTCAGGCAGGTGGTGGCTGGATACCAGCTGGGGAGCAGGATCCAGTGGCTGAATTCGTTCAGAAAACAACACCCATCTGCTGCTCCAGTATGGAAAAGTCATCATTTGGCTTTCTAAGGAGAAATTCCATGTAAAGCTATTTTCATTCCTCCCCAGCAGAGCACACAGATGGAATAGGATTGTTTTCATGATGACAAGTATTTGCTTCCTCTATTTGCCAGTGCAACCAAACATTTAATTATAAAAGCTCCTGAAATTAAGTAGATGCAAAAATTAAGATGAATATGCTCATTTTTACCAATACTGTAAAATGCTTTTACTCCGAAAGACCCATTTCATTACAATATACTGTGATGGAAAGTTAACACTCACATAATGACCTTAAAACCTGCTTAGAATGCAGAAACAGGTCATTGCTATTCACTCTCTTAAGAAAAGTTATAAGCCCCTAAAAATTGAGTTTACAATGGAAGCACTTTAATTATAGGAGCACAAAATGTGACACCAGAATTCTATGGCTCAGTATTGTCTCTTCTAGATTACAGACTACTTACAGGCTATACAGGCCTGAAGGTCACTGAGATGTGTTGCTTTCCTTGTTTTTCTCTACTCTGGAACATTTAGAGAAACAAAATTTCTCATTTAGGAGGATTTAGGTTGCTGCTACCACGCAGAGTTAAACCGGTCCAGTTAAATCAGTTCAACCAATGCAAAGGTATTTTTAGTGTGGTTGCTGTGACCTATTTCAAATGAGCTTCTTCCTCATTACCTCAGGCAAGCTGAAAGAGGCCTGGCTGATGCGGAAAAGAGAGTGCATGATGCACCTTCACCCAGGTTGAATCGAGTATTGTTGACATAACACCCAGTGCTGAATGTCCAAGCACGGACAGTCCCAAAGTGGGAATTCACCTGATGTCCCATGGAAAGGATATTAGAACAGCCAAGAGCATCTCCTGTGCTGAAGCCCAGGTCTGTGGTGGGAGGAAATGCACTCCCCAGATGTGAGTGTTCTGGTTCCCAAAATTCCACAGGGGATACTTGGGGGTAAGGGCCTGGCCTCAAAAGGCACTGCACCTCTATTGACTGCTCCCTCCACAAAAACAACAAGCAGTTAGACATAACATGAGCCAATTACATCCAGACCAGTGGTCCATGGCTTAGGAAAACTGCTTGGAACAGCTCAACTGCCATTGCTTCATCTTTCTGGAGGGAAAAGTTACAGGGAAACATGGTAGGAAGCATCAAACAGCCGTCACTTTGATCCAGATGTTAATCTGAGATGGGGTCTCCCAGAACTGTGATGCTAGTGGCTAGTGTTTGTTGTGTCACATCCCCTCCTCCTGCCCTGGTACCTAGAGCAAAGTCAAGCAGCTCTACACCACTGAGTATTTGCATTTGAGCTGCCTTTGCTTAACATTTATCTTCAGTATACGTGGAGGTCACCAGGCTCCAGCTGAGAGAATTAGCAAAGGAACTGCGGTGCTCACCTGTGTCAGTGTGAAGAATGGATGTTTGGAAGGCCAGCGTGGAGCACCTCCATGTCTTCAGTCCTCCCTGAACCTGGAAACACAGAGCAGGCTGTGGCAGGTCAGACAGCCCGTGCCAGGAAAGCTGCCTGGTGCTTCCCTTTGCAGATCTCCTGAGCTGCAGGAGGAAAATGTCACCAGCTGGCTGGAAAACTTGCCAGAGGCCATGGCATCAGACCTTGCTTTGAAACTCCCTTGCTAAGTTATGAACCTCCTGGCAGCGGTGTCTTAGGAAGGCTCAGCAGGCGGGTGCCAAAGAAGTGACCCTGTGTGACCAAGCAGCTGGGAAATGCCAGAATAAGTTGATCAATCTTCTTAATTTGCTGTTGAAAAACGCAGTCTTTACAAAGGGGTGATAAGGATGCCAAGACACCTAGTTTTACCTGCCTGTTATCTTGAGGAGACATCCTCACATGTTCCTCAAGGAAGGAAAACTCATGTAAAGAAGCAATTCAGAGGAGCCTATGCTCTACCTTGCGAAGAGATGACCCTGGCTCAGAGGGCACGAGGAGGCAGAACTCACCTAACATCAAAGAGCCAAATGATTTTGATGTGTCTGATGCTCCTTTCTTTCGCCATAGCCAATGGCCCATGGAGTTGTCAGGCAGATGGAGTGTACTAGGCAAGGCTGAAGGGAAATGTACAGTCAACAGAGTTGATATTTTCTGGGCTCTGCCTCTACTCCCTGGTGAGTTTCCTCTGAGAATACTATAAAAGTAATACAGCTGGCATGAAGTGTGAGGTGAAAATAGTGATTCCTTGTTCATTAGATAAATCCTGATGACTTTGCCTGAAGCTGCAAATGGAGAAACAGGCTGAAGGAGGAAGCGAGTTGGATGCTGGGCTGAAGATCCAGGATCTCTATGCCATAGAAAGTTTTGTCAGATACAACAAGTCTCTACAGACTGTTATGAAAACATGTAGTTGATGTTTCTCAGTCGTTTGGTAGAATGGGTGAATGGGGTACAGCAGCTGCAGCCTTGCTACTGTCTGGATGGAGATAGGCAGGAGGATTTCCCTCAGGACTGACAAGATTTTACCTTGGAAGGTAAAGGAAAGTGAGGAAAGTTTGGACAAATAGAAACTAAGATTGTTCACGTTGGGTTTCTGCCTCCTGAGCTGCCCAGGGGGTCACTCATTAGAAATCCTTTTGCAGGCACTTTCTCAGTCTGGGATTGGGGACCCATGGACAATGCTGAGCCACGCTGGGACTTGCTCTTTCCGGCAGCTCCTGTTTGCCAGCAGCCACGTTCCCGCTTTGCAAAGGGTCAGTCTTCATTGTCTCCTTCAGACTGTAATGGTTGGCAGTCCTGAGCATGCCTGTGCTAAGATGGTAAACTGGTTGCAGGATAAATCATTGTCTGCTGGCACAGTGGGTAACTAGCTAGAGTTTTATTATTGTGGTTTTATACATGGTGCTCATGTGGAGCTGCTTTTCCTTCAGTAAAAGCAGGAGTTATGGGAGACCCTTTGCACAGATGGTGCTGTCACCATCCTGTAAAGATCTCAGCCTGGTTAAAAGTAAGATGTCTGGCCCTGGGATGGGAACTCAACATCCCGAGCTGGCTGCAGGGGAAGATCCCTGGAAGTTCCTTCCTGAGCCAGGCCTGAGGGAAGTGCCCAGGTCAGCAGAGGGATCCTCTCCGCTTTCTGACCTGACAACAGCAACTGCAGACGGAGTCAAAGATGGAGAAGAGGTGGAGAGAGGGTGCAGTGCAGGGCAGAGGAAATGTTAAGGGGGAAGTAGGGTGCCTCCACCCCCTCCTGATCCAAGAGGAGCACCTGGGGCTGACATTTTATCAGCCTGGGTTTATGCTCCTCCTCTCCTCCATAGTGACAGACCTCTCTCCTGCTCAGGCGCCTCTGTGGGTCTTTGGTGTCAGCCTTGCTGCTTAGGACACATTTATTTGTAATATGAGTGCATGACCAATACAGACCTTGCTTTGCTGTGTTGCTCTGAAGTAATCAGGATCTATGATACGTGGAACACCCACTATTTCTTCCCGCATCCTTACAGCATAAGGAGGAAGTTCTGTGTTGTGCTCTAATCCAACTGTATACATTGTACATGCCATAAATCTGTTGTATTTATGCCCGTATTTGTAGTAAAATAATGCTGTATCTTTGCATCTGGGCTGCCAGGCATCCGTGTTCCTTCAGAGCTGTCACTGTAGGAGAAACACACCACCAACAATATACTATTATCACTACAAAGTGACAGCACTGCAGCTACAGCCGTGCTAATGTGCTGCACTGTATGATAATTACAAATGCTTTTCATACGTACACTTTTCTGGTTTGAAGAGACTCTGAGCTGTGGCACTGTATGAAAACCCTGTTCCTCAGGAGCTGCTCAGCTGAGAACCAGCAAGTCATAGTTTCAGCCCCACCACCTTCACATAAGCCTGTCTGACATCCACTCTATCATGCACTCAGTCATGTCAGCCTTGATTTATAAGTGAAGAATTAATAAATGACATTCAGAAAGACTCCAGTTGGATGTTTTCCTTTCTGGGCACCCAAACTAAATAGCATTTGAGTGACAAATTGCACATAGATGATATTAGTGGACAATGAATACCACAGTGCAAATGTATGTCAAGGTATGAGGAGTATTTCTTCTGTCCCTCAATATGTCAGGTTATTAAGCAACACGCATTAGGTCCAAACATTTTAACATCAGCATATGTCTCCCTTTATACTTCAGCATCCTAAAATAGCAGGTTGAGTAGATTTCTTATACTCCGATGCTGATTTTAATACATGTTGCAATATTGATGTCCTGATGTTCAAGCTCATGTAGCAGGCTCACATGAGTTATTTCTAAACAAATTAGCTGGCACAGGTCCTAGGCAAAATAATGGTGCCATCACAGGTCAAACACCTAGAAAATCAACACAAGTTGCTCCACGTGGTTTTATCGCAATTAGACCCTACCAAACAAGTCAGATTTCCTGGCTTTGCTAAACTGGAAGTTGGTTTCGAAGCACACAGCCTGGATGCAGCAGATGTTTGCAGTGCACCTGACAAGGCAGCTAATTGAGTGATTGGGATCACATGGGCCCATTCACAGGTATTAATGTGAAGTGAACTGCAAACATCCATTGAAAGGCAAAAAGGACCTTCTGGAAAACAGCGGCTCCAAAAATGGGTTGAAGATTGCTGTGGGTAAGTGAGCAAATGTAAGCTGCTAGTGCATGAAGAGTTAATGCAGTCTGGTGTATGTTAACACAGAGAGGAGTAAGAGTAAGGATAGATTTCTTCCCTCCACATGCAAGTGCTCACCTGGAATACAAGATGTCAGTCTGAAGTTTGCTCTTGTAAATAGGTAAAGGAACTGGAGGAGGTTCAGACAAGAGCCCCAAACCCAATTTGAGGGTGGGACAAAATGCCCTTTAGTGATCCATTTTTAAAGGCAGAATCTATTTGGATTGTAGGGAAGAAGAGTGAGAGGTAACTTGAGTAATGTGTAAGTACCTTCGTGGGAGAAAATACCTTGTAAGAAAAGGCTCTTTAATATAAAAACTGACTGGGAGCTGAAGCTGGAGAAACTCAGACTAAGGCACAAGGTTTTAACAATGGAGGTGATTAAACACTGGCAGAAAGTCCTGAGGGAAAGTGAGTGTCCTCTGTCTCCAGATAGTGTCTGTTTAGGTCTGTTCTTTATTGAAACATTTGCTTTACCCATACATCAAGGATTTGCCTTTTTGCAGGGGTAAAGCCCTTTCTTACAGTGAGGGATGGGTCTCAACAAGTTGATGCTACCTCCTAGCTGAAAATTGCTATGGAAAATTCTTTCCCACCTGGATATGCCAAGGGTAAAGGAACCAATTCTAATTAGAGATATTTTAATATCAAATTCAGGTCCACAGGGCTTATGGAGGTGGCTGAAGAGCTGCCAGACCAGGGTGTCAGTTGGAGTGGTGCAGTTCAGCACGATTCCTCTCCCATGCTGTTGGCACCTCATTTTCCATTCCTCCTCCATCTCAGACCTTCCCTCTGCACTGACAAATGTTGCTTACAGAGGGGTTCATCCTCTTCCACCCAGAAGCAGCTGGTGGTCCTCTGAATCTGAATCTGTCTCAGACATCTGCAGGAAGATGAACACATCCCCTCCAAAGGCCAAGTCCCAGATGCATAAACCAGCCTTAGTCTAGCAATATGTCTGTGTTCTGGACCATGCTCATTCACACAAACTGGGGGCCCCAATTCAGTCCTGTTCATGTTTTCCTTTGGTGACCCCTTTTAATTCCACCATAGCTAATGTTAAAATTGTCTGCTGTTGGAAGCTTTTAGTGACCAAGTTGCTTGCAGGATGTTCTGTTTGCTGATGTGCTGTGAGGTTTTTGGTGTATTCCCAATCTCTTTAGCAACAAGCAGCAAAGTGCATTTATTCTGCCTGTGGTTGCTTGGCCAGCTTGTACATGCTCTGCTGTCCCTCCACCTACCTATAAGCATGTCAGTTACTGAGTCACGGAGCCAAAGCAATGCCAGGTGACTTATGTGGTGGCTTATTCACCATAAACAGTGAGTAGTGGAAGGAAAATACCTCTCTGAATAGTTAAAAAGCCATCAGTGGATAGAAATGTTCCCATGATAAGTACATGTGTAATAACAGAGCAAAACAAACCCTTTAGAGGTAATTTCTGGGAGAAAGAGAAATCCGGCATCAGTGGAGTAGGTGGTTCATCATGTGTCACTCCACCTGCTTTAGGGAACCACCACAAACCTTGCCCATTTCCACAGAACACCAGTAATGCATCAAAGTGTTCAACCACCAGACTGAGCTGTCACAGGGGGCTGCTGGTGGCAGTGGAAAGGTCAGGGTATCAGACCTATTTTAAGAGGCTGTTTTAACCCTCAGTGTCTTTTGAAAGGCAATCTCCCACCCGCTCAGTTCTTTGGCCATTTCCATTTCCTCATAGTGTGCTCAGACCTGCATTTTGTGTGTACAGATCTTCACTTGTAAAACATTTCAATTTATATCTCAGTGTTTTATCACTTAGGGGTATAATTTCCTACTTCTCTGCTTCTAATTCCTCCACTACCTCCATAGCATTTGACTCTCCTGTGGTCTTGCTATCAGCAGTAGGACCTGTACATAGATGAGCTTCTGGTACTTTGTCTCCAGACTTAATTTCTTCTGCTCCTTGGTGATTTGGTACAGGTAAGCCAATTGTGCATTTCCTAATATTAAAGATATCAGAATAGAAGCTAGTTAAGGTTCTGATCTTCACAAAACTGTTACAAATAGCAGTTTTCTGTAGTGGTTTGGCTCAATTTCTAAGTATTTTTTGCTGGAAAAAAGCGTTGGCAGGACATCTGCAGCAATCTTATCAAGTGCTTTTGAGAAAGCTGCAGCTAGTCATTTTTGGGGATTAACTCTGATTTGTAACACTCATTCCTAACAACTTCTAATGAATTCAACACAAGCAGAACATGCATCATTTTGGTTCTTCCAGTAAGATTTGGATTACTGTTCCATCCTTACTGCCTGGGAGACTTATGTGGAAATCCAAGAGGTGAGGGACACCTGCCCAATGGACACCACAGAATGTCACTGCGGGATGTGATGTGCCAGATGGAGGATGCAGTGGGGAGGATCCCATTGTTGGGTGTTTGGGTAGCTGCTCAGGGCTGAGATACAAAGGTGAGACCTCATAAAGCGTCTAGCTAGGCTCCTGGTGCCATGTAAAGTCAGTAGTGGGAGTCTGTGTGAGCACCACTGGCCCAAGGAGGAAGGGGAGAGGAGTTTTAGAATTTGCCATTGAGGAGGTTGTGTAGCAAGTTGTCAACAGTGTAATTCCTAAATGCTCTCAGAACCAAGTACACCACAGAGGAAACAGAAGTCTCAAGGCATATATGAGAAAAATGGGTATGGGATCAGGATCTGCACCTGCTAGAAATCAAACAAATGTTCGGAGTTGGTGGAATGTGCCCATGAGAGACAGGTTCCCACACGGCCAAAACAGACCTTGGCTCAAGATGGTGTTGTAAGAGTATGTTCTTAATACACCATCTTCAGCTGTTCAGAGGAGGTGGCTGGGCTCTGCTCCCAAGGAACAAGGGATGGGACAAGAGGAAACGGCCTCAAGCTGCCCCAGGGCAGGTTTAGATGGAGCTGAGGAACAATTCCTGCCCCAGAGGGTGCTCAGGCATTGGAACAGGCTGCCCAGGGCAGGGCTGCAGTCACCGTCCCTGCAAGTGTTCACGCAGCGTGGAGACGAGGCCTCAGTGCCATGGGGCAGTGGTGGCCTTGGCAGTGCTGGGGTAAGGGTTGGACTGGATGGGCTTAAAGGGCTTTTCCAACCTGGTTGATTCTGTGATTTGGTGTTAAATACCCAACAGCTGAACCAATACCAAATATTTGCATGCATCTGTTTGAATGCTAGAAATGTAAAAATTGGATGAACTGGAGAATTGATTCTAAAGGAAGATACTGACTTAACGGGCTGCCTAGGTACCTGGCAGAAGGACAGTTATCAGCAGGACATTCTTACTATGGTGTAACTCGGAGTAACACCAGAGTAACCGGCAGCAGTAGAGAAGAGACACTGTGGTTTGGTCTGAAAGATCATTAAGGGAAAGAAGTTCACCCTATCAGTAGTAGCACACGATTCTGCTGGGCTGAAATCTCATGCCTATGTGGAAAGCAATAGCACGGTGGCTGTACTCTGTACTCTGTGGGTAGGCATAATGATGGTGCGTGGGGTCATCAAGCACTGAGTGATGTTGGTTGGTCTCTCAGGGCAGGAAACACAAAAATAAAAGTAGTCTTCAATTCCCCCCATGGTGATTAGTGCCTGTGACAAAGGGGTGAGGTGCTGAGAGTAGATTTTCAGGCAGCATAAGTGACTGTTTCTTTGGAGAATAGGAAAGAGGAGAAGCAGCCTTTGATTTAGCATGGAGCAGTCCAGGAGACCTGGTTCAAGGTCTAACCATCAAAAAGCAGCTCCATAAGAGTGACCATAATAGACTGCAGTTCAATACTCTGTAGGAGATGGGGGGAAGTAGAAATTGCTCTTACACAGTTTAAAGAGAAACTACCCAAATAAATGAGGAGACTAGTTAAAAAGGAATTTAAAGAGAATGGCCAGAAGGGCAAAATGATTGAAACTGGTGGGGATACTTTTGACAGACACTGTATTAGAAGCTCTAGGACATTATTAGAAAACTTGAAATGGACAAAAATAATTCTGGCCATGGTTATACAGTAGCATAAAAGAAGCAACTGAAAGGATATTCTTTCAAATGAGGAAAATAAACCCTGGCAAGTAAATGTAAAACCAAATTAACATAGCCCAAAATGTGTTTGAGGAAGAACTTGCTAAAGACATAAAAGCTAATGATAACACTTTTTTTTCAAGCATTAAAAAGTAAGTATATGCCATAGGACTAGTACAGCTCATGGAAGATCAGAATTCAGTGGGAGAACTGTGAAAGAAAGGGCACAGCAGGAAAGTTAAATAAACAGAGGAATTTAGTAATGTTCCCACATGGGAAATTTTCATTACAAGGGATGAGTATAAGGAACTGGTTTATATTTTAGGCTTGAAATTAAAAATTGAATAATAAAAATTCATCAAGACCAGATGGTATTTTCCAAAGAGCTGTGAAGGAATGAAAAAATTAAATTCCAGTCTATTAGCTGTGCTGGGAAATCTGTCACTTCAATCTACCTAGGCAACAGAAACTAGAATTTCTTGCCCTTTATTAAAAGGAGTTGAAGGGGAAATATGGAAAGCTGTGAAATGAGGAAGCTTGATTTTTATAAGGGAAGCTGGAAGACACTACAATAAAGAGCAAAATAAGCAGGCACATAAGACAGAACAAAGTGTTGTCTCACCCAAAACTGAGCAACAGAGAACTTCTAGATCCTGCAGGTGAGAACACAGTAGCCTTGAGTACTTGGATTTGCAGAAAGCTTTCAGTAAAGTTTCCCCAGTCATGGGATAAAAAGGAAGGTCCTTATATGGCATAATGGCCATGTAAATGACATGAAAAAATGCAGCAGTAAAAACCTTTATGTGTTCAGAGTCATGCAGGAGTCAGGGGAATCTGCCTACAACAGGGAATTAAACAGTGCCAGGGAACCTTCCTGGTCAATGGAGTTCTGCTCATTACAACATTATACTGTTGGGTTTAGGCTGGTTTGGTTTTTCCCAGCCAACTCACACCGTATGGAACAATTCACAGGCCCCTGGTGCAGCCCAGGGCAGTTTCCAATGGACAGTGTGGGTCTGACCAGCCTTTTCTGGAGGGTGCGGAAGTATTAATACAAGGTATGGACATGTGTCATGCCATGCCCAGTGTGATCTAAAGATGCACAGAATGTAATATGAAGGTGTATAAAGATTTAATCTTTGTAGAGAGTTCTTGAGAACATCAGTGCAAACCTTGGTAGTGCTCATAAAGAAAATATTAGGAAATAAAAAAAAACCACCAGGAGCAAGCAGAAACCCACTTATTGCATGTATAAATCCATGGAATGACCACATTTTGAATATGATGCATATTCTCATTGAAACTGCTTGGAAATCTTTTGGCCCTTAGAAGAGCTTTATTGATGGGAAAGAAGAATAACCAGAGATTTAGAATAACTTCCATGACAGGAGATTTTTAGAAGGCTACCACACCTCAGTTTGGACGGTTGCACAGAGAGGAGAGAGACTGGTGGACCAAGACCTACAAAATCATGAGTGACACACAAACAGTGCATAGAAAACAGTTCACTATTTTGCCAAACACAAATCGCTGCAATCAACACCTCAAATTATCAAGCGAGAAGTTGAAAACCAGGAAGGGGAAGATCCCCTGAGAATGAATGCGTACTTACACTTTGTAACACAATGTCTGAGCCTGTCATGGAGTCCAAAGGTACAAAGATGTTCAGAGAGAAGGGAAACTGATTAATGAATGAGAAGGAATTTGTCCGAAACATGGTGAAGCAGAACAATGTTCAACAAAAAATCCTTGAGCCACACAGTGCTGGAAGCAGGAGACTCACCAGGGAAATGCCACTCCATGCTTGTCCTGTTCCTTCTGAGCCATCTCGTAGTGAGCATTAGCAGAGGCAGATAATGAGGAGGATGGATATTACCCAGGATGTCCCTTCTTCCATCTCTATTACATCCTGATGTGAGTTTGGTGACTTCTAGTGTAGGGATTCTCAGTTGGGTGTTTTGACAGGAGCACTAATTACAGTAGTGGACAGCAGTGAATGAGAATTTCTGACAACAAAGGAAAAGGCTGATTTTATTCTGTTTAGAGAACTAAAAATAGGATCAGTCCTTTAAAAAACTGGGACACGTATTTGTCAACACTGGTTTAGAATTAAAAAATACCTTTTAAAATGTATGCTGGTGTCACATCTGATTCAACAATGACACGAGCCTATTTCTTGGTGTAGAGTAACTCCATGCTCTAATGAGTTTATCATGAATCACTGAACACGCATCATTGACGCATGCTTTGAGGACAGGACCAGCCCTTGACTGTGTCTGCACAGTCACTTGGCTTTCCCCTTCGTTCCTCATGCTGTTGCATTGGAAGCTCCTTCTACCAGGCGGTTTGATCCCGGTGAGCACGTAGTCAGGCCTGGTCAGGATAGCAGCATCTCTTGTATAGCCATACTCTATCTTTTATGTTAAGAGCTTGTCACAAGGAGTTGATCGAGTTTGATGTGTTAAAACGCAAGAACCCCATCAACCTCAAACCCATCTGTGGCTATTGGAGGCATTTAAATCTCACCCAGTGACTTGTCTCTGAGGTTCCCGGGAGTCTATTAGATTTAGATGGATGAAGCTCATTAGTTGTATAGGTGACCCTACTTGTGCAAGTGTAGAGCCCTTCACCACCTCTACCTGTGACAAGACCATCTCACAATTCACTTTCCTTCCACTGAACATCTATTTGGTTTGTGGAGATCTGAGCTCACTTATGACCAGGCCTGAGCCAGCAGACTGGAGAGACAGCAGCCCAATGAGCTGGGGTGAAAGAAGAATGGGAGAGGTTGTGTGAGTTGAGCAGTACTCTCTGTACAGGGATCTGAGCAGGGAGGTGCTGCTGCTTCCAAGCACATGATGTCCAAAGTCCAGGCTGGGCTGCTTTATGGATCTGGCTTTCAACATGCCTATGGGTGTGATGTGAACTTTTCACCACCCTCTGCCAAAAAATAGGTGCTTCTGGGCTACATATGCCTAATTATTCCTTGCCTCAGAACAGGAAATCACTGGTCAATGACCAGCCTCTAAAAGGCATGAGCCACCAGGAGGAATATGTGACCTGCTTGGTGGAGAGGTGCTCTCAGCAGCTGGCAGGGGAAAGCCTTCTTGGGTTCCTAAGGGAAAAAAGCAAACTGGCACTTATAAGCCCTCTGGTTTGATCCCTGCAGTATCTGAGCTGTTTGTTAGAGCCAATTTGGACAGAGAAGAATTGAAGATGTGGGATAAATGAAGATTAGTTAGAGCTCAACATGGGTTTATTGAGGTAGATGGTGCAAGACTAAAGGAAAAGTGAGTTTCTTGTTAAAGAAATGTAGTACCTCTAACCACTCACACTGATTCTGTACCATACAGGAAAAGATTATCTAAACTACAGTAAGGGGCAACCAGAACCAGTCTGAAAAGGTACTTAGGAGACAAGATTTGGCAAAGCTGCAAGGTCTGGCTGGAGGGACGCCTCTAGGGAAATTGTTCTGAATTCAAATGTATTTAGTACTCACACTGGAGGAAAGCTTTTGATTCTTCATTATATAGGAAATGAGGGCCCTGCCTTCTGGCAGAAAAAGGGGAAGAGTGCTGGGAATCAGCTTTCCCTCACAGGGCTGGTGACCTTCCTCCAAGTTTACTCCACCCTCATTTCTTCCCTCCTGTCTGTGATGGAGCTGCCTCTGGAGTGGGGAAAAATCTCTGTTCCTTGAATTGACAGGAGCACCTTCCCCTCCGCATGGTTCTGCAGGTCTGCTCGGCAGCACCGCTGCCAAATTAATCTGGATTGCACTTTTCCCACTTTAGTAATTTAGATAAAAGTAACATTTTGTTTGAGAGCAGCAGCAATTATACCCTTGGGTTTGGGATTTACATAATTAATACTTTCTCCATCTCCAAATGTCGCCCCCCGCCCTCGCTTCTGCTGCAATCAGGGTCTTGTCTTTCACTGATAGCATTCCTCCAAAAGATACGTAAGTCCCTATTAGAGAGTGTTGCATGTGGTTAAGAAGGAGCATCTCGGAAAAAAAGAGCTGTATCTCTATGCATTGGTGTCTGTATGACATGAAACGCATGTCACTTCACCCAGAGAACTAATGAAGATCCCAATTATACAGCGATAAAATATACATATGCAGTACAGAGGGGCTTATACATTTTTAATTCTTTTTCCTTTTTTTTTTCTAAAGCCAAATGCAGAAAGAGAATTCTAATCACTGGTTTTGTCATTTTTAAATAAAAGGGTACCTTATTGCAAGAAACACCCATGAGCTGCATTTAATCCCCCAGCCACAGCCTCAGCACCGTCCCCCCTCCTCATGCTAAGAAAGCCCTCACTGCTTCAAACAGCTTTGCCTTGCTAATGAAGCTTTTCCCTTTCAGAGAGGGGTTGCAGCAGTGATAATCCAGCAGGGCTCTGGGGGTTTCTGTGCCCACCCTGCATCCAAGCCACTGGCTGCACCCTTCAGCTTGGATTTGCTTCTCCCCTGTTGTTCTCCGAGCTGGAGCGATAGCTGTGATTTCCCAGCCCCGCTCTGGCCTCAGCAGGGAACACCCAGCTGCATGACAAGAAAAGAATAGGATGGAGTTTTAGCAGCAAAACCAGCAGCTTCCAGCAAAAATACTCTTCTTTCTTCCTGGATCAGAGCCCTGCAGATACTGGGGACTGGTGAATAGTGCCCCTATTCAAAAATCCCTAGCAAAAGGTATACTGGGGGAACAGGAGTGGAAACTGGCCCTTTTTCCACACCTGTTTGCAGAAGACCTCCGTTATCACTGGTATTTACTGTGCTGATCCTGTCCTGCGTGCCATGGGAGCACAGTGAGCCTGCATGGAGCAGCTACACGTCTGTCCTCCCTGTGGGCTCACACCCCTGCTATGCTTCCACCTGCTGATGGGGACTGCAGGGGTGCAGGGGTAAGAATGCTCATCCTCACCTCATGCTATTCCCTGAGTTTGGAGACAAGATTTGCAGTCACAGACTTCCAACCCAGCCCTGCAGACAGCACATACACTGAGAAGGACCTTCCAACAGTTTAGCTGCACCTTTGGGAGCTTACAAAAAATAAGATCTTTTCTTTCCTGTGCTCTATAACACATATACAGCTGGCTGTTCTCCACAGGAACAATCAAACACGTATCTAGCCAGGCTGACGTCCCTCCTAACCTTCAACTATTGCTCCAAACCAGGAAGGTATTAGAGCTATTCCACAAAACAACTTTAAGAGCTTTTAAACATTAGCCTAGCAATATATTTTCCTTAATTGCATCCAAAGAGATGATTGACTTATTTGAGATTCAGTTTCCAAAAAAACAGTGAATATATAAAAGCATTGATCTGAGACAGGAACTCAACTTGGAGACTTTCAGACAAAACGTTCAAGATCTGGCAATGTTTTAACTAATTCAGAACAACGTTTTAAAACAGAGCTGTCAGGCAACCTGAAGCATTAAAGCAGTTCTGCCAACTCCTCTTGTAACAAAAATAAATGATCATTTGTTGCTTTCTGAAGTCTAATATGCGGAAGAGTGGATATATCGTACAATGTCCGATGTCCTGAACTCCACCTTCATTTAAAGTTTAAAGTCATTATAATATGTTGCATAAATATAAGGGTAAAATATAATCACTGATGATAGCACAGTTCTGGAAAGTTTTCCAATGTGCCAAAAGCACAGAAATTGTTATTTTGGCATTAATCTGAGCATGTCGGAGTTGTGACAGGCATAGGATCATTATCACGAGCCATGACAGGAACTTTCAACTACCATGGGACTGTTGGAGTCGTGGTTGGGGAAAGAATCCTTTGATTTTTCCAGCTACAGAGAGGCTGAAAATGTTTAAACCCCAACAGTGGTTGAAATTTGTTTATGGAACCAATTGCAAGATGTTGAAGAAAAGTTGTCAGGGTAAAACTCACCCTCACGTAGCCCAGATCAGGCTGATGGAACACTTGGTTCTGGCTGAAAGGACGGGTGGCTGCACAGATCTCCTGCTGGGTTGCACTCCCAGCCTTATGCAGAGGAGCACACCTGACATCCATCAACTGTGATACGGAGTTTTCCTGCTCCTGCATGCCAGGCTGAGTCTCTCTGCAGAAAATAGATCTGGTCCCCTCTCTATTTAGCCTCCTGCAGCGATACAGGTGCTTTAATGCTGCTTGAGCCCTGAGAATGAGATGACTCAGATAAAGTAGACCAGGGTCTCCGTTTTAATTTTTTTCTCCCTCTAAGTCACAAAGTTCATCCTGAAATCCCAGCACAAACCTGCCTGCCTTCCCAATTACCAGCATTTTAGCTACTCTGCCAGTTTTAAATTGCAAGTTGAACTGGAATAAAAAGCAAAGAAAGTTTAATTAATTGGTTAATTAATTATTTCTCCCTCTTCTAATAAGAAGATAAAGTTCACAAAGAGAAAACGGAGGCAAAGATGGAAAACGCAGCCAGTTCAGCACTGTGGGGAACCCTGCAGTCATGTGCCTTGAAATCATAGAATCATGGAATGGTTTGGTTTAAAAGGGACCTTAAAGCTCATCCAGCTCCAGCCCCTGCCACGGACAGAGACACCTTCCACTAGAGCAGCTTGCTCCAAGCCCCTGTGTCCAACCTGGCCTTGAACACTGCCAGGGATGGGGCAGCCACAGCTTCTCTGGGAGCTGTTATCTGGAAAATGAGAGTTCCTCCTGAAGTGGACAAAGGGTTCCAGAGGCAGCAGTAATAGAAAGTTTGGAAGAAAACATTCCTAGGGGGAAAAAAGAGCAATATATTTTCCCATCTCTCAAAATCCTGCAGGCAGTCAGGACTCCCGTTGGAAATGTTAAATCAGTGTTGCCCATGGGGAGACCTACCAGCAGTATCCTGGGTGACAGCCTCCTCCAGATGCTGTGATGACAGCTACCAAAGGCAGTTCTGACATCTGCCCTGTACTGGGCACAAGGATGCCCAGGGATTTGATGAACTCACCCCTTTGCAGAAATCAATGCTCCAGCAACAACATTTTGGCTGAGCTGATGCTCATAAGAATTTCCACCAGCAGGACACTGAGGTAACCACAGGGCCATGAAACTGAGCAATGATCAATGAAAGCTGGATAGATTCTGTTTGGCTTAAAACCCTCAACACTCTCAGTAGGTATATCAAGGGAGGAG